AACGTGACCAAGTTCTCTCATACACCCTATCAAGCTCTCTCACACTCACTATCAAGAACGCCTAGAGTTTGATAGTGTGTGAGAGAGTTTGACAGTGAGTGTGAGAGGTTTGATAGTGAGTGTGAGTTTGATAGTGAGTGAGAGAGTTTGATAGATAGTGTGAGTGAGAGTTTGATAGTGAGTGTGAGAGTTTTATAGTGAATGTGAGGGTTTGATCGCGAGTGTGAGAGTTTAATAGTGTGTGTGAGAGTTTGATAGCGAGTGTGAGAGGGTTTGATAGTGTGAGAGGTCTGATAGTGAGTGACAGAGTTTGATAGTGAATGTGAGACAGTTTGATAGTGTGAGAGGGTTTGATAGCGAGTGTGAGAGAGTTTGATAGTATGTGTGAGAGTTTGATAGTGTGTGAGAGTTTGATAGTGTGGGAGTTTGATAGTGAATGTGAGAGGGTTTGATAGTGTGAGAGAGTTTGATAGTGAGTGTGAGTTTGACAGTGAGTGTGAGAAAGTTTAATATTGAGTGTGAGAGGGTTTGATAGTGAGTGTGAGAGTTTGACAGTGAGTGTGTGCGAGTTTGATAGTGTGTGAGAGGGTTTGATAGTGTGAGTGAGAGAGTTTGATAGTGTGAGTTTTATAGTGAATGTGAGAGGGTTTGATAGCGAGTGTGAGAGGGTTTAATAGTGTGTGTGAGAGGGTTTGATAGCGAGTGTGAGTTTAATAGTGTGTGAGAGAGTTTGATAGTGTGTGAGAGTTTGATAGTGAGTGTGAGAAAGTTTAATATTGAGTGTGAGAGAGTTTGATAGTGAGTGTGAGAGGGTTTGATAGTGAGAGTGAGTTTGATAGTGAGTGTGAGAGAGTTTGATAGTGAGTGTGAGTTAGAATTTTCTCTCATACCCTCTCCACACACACACACACACACACACACCTACCTCTAAGTCACCATTCTACACTCAACAAAACAACTTATTTTTCCAAGGCCAAACACTACATTACATTTAGTCATTACAGTTTAGCTTTCACATAGGCCACATTTGGTTAAGTTGGTTAATTTCACTAAGTGTGTTTTCCAGTCATAACACTGTTGTTGTTGTTTTGAACTAGTTTCTGTACTAGTGATTAGTGTAAATATGAAGGTTATTTAGATTTTATTTTTTTCTAATTATTGTTCATATTAAACTTATTTAGAAATTATTTATGTCTTAGGTTTTGCACAGTCAACTCCTCAATAAACCTGTGCTCATGGGTGATCTTCAGTTCCAATGGCCACGTGGAGTGTGCACACTGCACATGCATGTCTGGCATAGCAGAGTCTTGCCTACATGTTGGTGCTCTCCAGTTTAAAATTGAAGTAGCAGTGCAGATACAGAGGACCAAGACAGTCACTGACATTCCAGGTTACTGGATGATGCCCACTAATGTGGACAAGGTCCAAGCTGAGGTGGGCTACAATTTCGACTTCTCCTGTGGTGCAGCTAAGAAGAAGGTGCTCAACAAGTGCATCAGTGGAGAGAAAAGAATGTCAGGGATACGAACTCGTGTTGGCTGCATGAGTCCAAGTCCACACTTTCGGACCTATCACCCCTACTTCAGATTTTGAGCACTCGCAGCAAGGCTGTTTGTCTTTCTGGAATGGAGCACTACTACAATCAAGTCCCTACTGAACGACCAGGAAAGGATGGATGTGAACTGTACTACAGCCAAGCACAAACATAGATCTTTGTGACTGGTTCAGAGTTTTGTGACTTTGTAGCGTAGACACAGAAAGACTGTGTTGTACTTCGGAACTTTCCAAATACGGACTTCTGGACGACACTGCTGACAAAGGCACAGAACTTTTTCTTCAAGGTTTCTCTACTCGAGCTTGTAACTTGTTACTACACCCGAGCAGCCTCCACAATGCCCCATGCTAAGCCTTTAACCAAGTTACAGCCATCTCACAAACAGGCATTAGAGAACAGAAAAGATCTGTAGTGCCTTTGCAGAGGGCCTAAAGACCAGAACGACACGGCTTGTGACAACAAAAACTGCAATCCAGTGTTTCCACCTCAGGTGTGTGGGACTCAGTCAGGCACCTTCAGCACGTGAGCTGTGGCTCTGTCACACATGCGCTAAGACGAACTGATACGGTGGGGCACAAGCATGCTTTTGTATTTGTATCTACCTTATTGATTGCTTAACCTTTTTTTGTACTGTTGTACTTTTTTGTCTTTTTTATTTTAATTGACGTCAATACTTGAAAGTTACACTGCCACTTTACTTCTTTTACATGTTTTATTTGCACTTCAGGGTGGTTTGGTGTGAAATACTGCATTCTAGAGAAACATGCCAAAGCATAATTGTTCACAGATTTGGTGATAGGAACCAGATATCAGAAGAGATCAAAGCTTCTAAAAGCTCCCTCACAGAAAGTACAGGAAATGCTTAGATATGCTGCCTGATGTCTGACACATTGCTTTATGATAGTTTTAGTGGGTTGTCCTGATACTGCAGAGTGAAACATCGCCCTGGGTTAAAAGGGGAGGTGCTTAAATTGAATTTGTTTAACCATTTACAAAGTTCATGCTATGACATCATCACATGTGACCAGGTCTTTCTTTTTTTTCTATTTTTAAGGCTCCAGCGAATCTGCATCTCCTGGTGAAGGTAAGAGATTTCTTCTAGAAGTTCCTTGTTTTATATCATCCATGCTTAATAATATAGTACAGGTTTTACTTACACAATTAAAAATTTACTGTAGGTAGCCTTAGGTTGGTTAGGTAGTGTCGATAACTAATGCAATGCTAGGTGGTAAAGCTATCTGGCTAGCCTAATAGTAAGCCTGAGTACTTATTTAATGCCCTTTTTCACTGTTAAAATTTAGCTTGGAACAATTTCTTCTAACATTTTTTTCATATATTTAAAGTAACAAAGTTATTGGAGCTTTTAGCTTGTTTGCAGCTATCTAGCTAGCTAGCACAATTAGACCTTTACAGTTCAAGGAAATTCATGCCTAATATTTCCTTGGGGACATCATTTAAGATAGCTTTGTTAACTCAGAAACAGTGCATTTTATTTGAACAGTAGTAGCAAAATTCTGGAAACAATATTTTAGTTTTCTCACCACATTAAGCTACTTAGCATGTTGTGTAGTCCCAGGAACATCATCCAGTCTTGGTACAGCGGCATCATACAGTTGTGTTAACCCAGATATTTTATTATGTTAGCCTAGGAGCGGTATATTTAATAATAACAGCAAAAGCAAAATTCTGAAATTGATCCATTAGCTTTAATGCCACATTAAGCTTTATGTCACACAAGCATAAAGTCCCAAGAACATTGTCCAGTTTTAACCTGGGGGTGTCATACAGTTGTGTTGACCCAGGGACTTTATTATTTTATGTCAGCCCAGGAGCAGTACATTTAATAATAACAGCAGAAGGAAAGTTTAGCTTTCTTACCACAGTAAGCTACCTAGTATATTATGTAGTATATTATTAACATCCAGTCTTGACCTGGGAACATCATACAGTTGTGTTGACCCTGTAATCTCATTATTATATGTTACCAAGGTGCAGTACATTTAATAACAGCAGTAACGTTTCTTGAGGACATCCAAGGAACATCAGTGCCCCTCACATTTTTGAGCATTTTTCAAAGTTGAGCCAGATGGAATTAGTTGAAAATAGTGGGGTGTAGTTACTCTTTAAGGGCAGCTGCAGGGCAGAGGACCTGAGCTGAGGGGGACAGAGCTCGTTGCTCTGGCTGGGGAGGCAGGGCCTGGGCAGTGAAGTTCTGGGCCTCGTGTCCCGCCTTCATTCCTCTCATGGCTGTCGTCAGCAACCCCATCCATCGGCTGATGTCCCGCTGTCACTCGTGTCTCTTGGTAGTGTACAAGGTTTAGGCCCCTCCTTCACGACAGCTCTCGTGGCAAAAGGTGCCATTATAACTGTCCACGTCATGTTTTCCTTTCTTTAAAATAACTTCCTACAAGTTGAAGAGACATGTTTTTTGTTAATAACTTTAGACATGCATTAAAATATTATAATGACAAATAGTTCGCAAATTTCAATGTATTTAAATATTTAAAATTTTGTAAAAAAAGGAAAGGGTGCCAATAATGGTGGCCAGAACTGTAATACTTGTGTTAATAAAAATTATATATAGTTTTGTGTGTACAACTGTTCAAGGCTGTGTTTTCTAGTCTTGTGCTGGCCTGCGTTTTAATTAAGTAAACTTAATGAAGGAATACAAATTACTTTTTTCCAGTTCTTGGGATTCTAAATTACAAGTCCACAATGCACAGAGCCTGAAAAAGACAGGCCAACTCTTCTGATTACATATGAAGGCAACACACACTTTCTACTGGTCTTGCTGATTAACATGACTCATTTTTGGTTTACAGCAAGAGGCATATGATGTGCTGCTCTAGTGGGCTGCACATTTTTTGACTTACTTATACCAAGGCTTCTTTCATGTTTCTGCAGTGAAGAAGCGGAGGAGGAACAGAGTGATATTTCACAGGGTTTCTCAAAATGCTACAATAACTTGAGCCAAAAACGGGAAAGGTCCAGTAGGAACACACATTGCTTTTTGACTTTCAACTGACCTGGCCAACTCAGAAACCCAGTGAACTAAGCACAATCTGGCAATAAACTGCTTTGAGGTTTTGCTTTTTTCTGCCTTTCTAGCTACGACAAAAGGTTCAACGCTGCATTTATTATTAATAGTGAAAATCACTTTGACTAGTTTTCTTTTAATCAAATCAATAGATTTTCAGTTTTCTGTATTGACCAAATGAATTATTACAGTGTAATTACACTAGATTCAAACCCCTTAAGCTTAGTACTGCACCAGCAGAACAGAAACCTTTTGGGAAAGTAGTTCCAGATTAACTAAATCCAAATGTGCTTGTTGTTTTTAATCAGGAGACTTTTAATTAATCTGAACTGTTTAAAAGCAGCTGCACTGAAGTAACCCTGAAGTCAAATAATGTGAATCACAGTAGTGAATGATCTTTTCCACAGCTTGAATCCATGATAAGAAGTTTATTGAGTTTGCTTTACAAGAGTTAATGTTCTCTTTCAATGGTATATAAAGCACACATGTTTCTTAGAGAAAAAACTAGCACACACCTAGCTTTTACTTGAATATTAAAAATTAACAGAGGCAATAATATTTTGGAGGGGTCCTATCACTAACAATGCAATTTGTAGCTCGGTTAGCAAAATACATATCACATCTAGCTTGGTAGATGTATGAATTAACTAATGTATTAAAACAAAAGTCCTTGGAACATCTTGCTCAAAAAAACGGCGAACAAACAAAAAAACAAACAAACAAAAACCCCCACAAAACCCTGTTGTCAAAAAACAGTCAAAACACTGTTGTGAAGCCAAAAGCACAAAGCGCAAGAAGGGTCTAAAAAGTGTCTCACTCCTTCCTGCGCTTCTTCTCATGATCGTAATCCTTCGAGCGGCCACTAGTGGATGGTCTTTTAGAGCCGCCATGTTGTTTGGCCTCTTCCAAAAACTTGTCAAGACCGAAAGGATCCTCCTCAAACTGGACAGGTCCATCCCTACGGGGTCCATGGTCAGCACCAGAGAACTCCCTATCAGGTACGAACCTGATGAGAGAAGAACAGTTTAATATCATGACTTAAGAATAGCTACGAATGCCTCTCAATCCAAGCTCAATGACAGCAGCCACTAAAGCTCGTCATTACTGTTCTACCTGTAGTGCTTATGTACTGAACAACTAGAGAACACACAATTGACATTGGGAATTTCACTGAATTACCTGCTGCTCTGCATAAGTGTGTCCAGGTCATCTCCGTACATATCTTTGTCTGCGTTCTTGCTGGGCCTGTACATGTTCTGTGCCATGTCTCTGCCACTCTTGAAAGGCTGGTCATACACATTATATATCTCATCCTCTCCTCCAGCAAAGCCACTGTCCATTCCCTGTGACATAAACATACACAACTTTAACTTGAACTTGAATACAAGCAGGTGACCTCTAGTACTGTTCAGAGCACATATATCCAGGATAAACATGACCTCAAAAAACAGCCTATCCCGAACACGTGTCTGGCTCCAGTCCTCACAGGCCAAAACACTGCAGACTTCAGCAAACTGCCTCATTAAAACACACCTGATTCAGCTCATCAGCTAATTAACAATGCCTTCATGAACTGAATTCAGAGCGTTAGATGAAGGAAAACGCTAACCTCCGCAGCATTTCACTGCCATTCTAGTGTTTTAAGGGAGAATTCTAATAAGTTCACCCAGAATCATACAACGCAATTCTTCGTTTATCTGAGATCTGTAAGTCATTGATTAATGAATGTAGTACAAATGAAAGTTGGTTACCCTGCTTTGGTTGAAGAGCCTCTGATCGTACTGAGCCTCACTGGAGATACGGGGGTTGGGCTGGCCCAGAGCAATCAGCTCACTAATATCTCTATCCTGGTCCCTCTGCAGTTTAGACCTGGTCAGAATAGGGAATCACACCAATGTCAGTGTTACCTACATCCTATGAGACCTCTATACAACATTACGCACTCCCATTTAAAAAAAACAAAAAAAAAACAAAACAAAACACAAAAAACAGTAAGCTGCAGTTTACAGGCTGAATACCTTTCATGAAACAATAATAAGGGTCCCTGATACATACACAAACTGAACTGGCCAGGGCTTGACTGACCGGCCAATGAAACTTTCAATGTGGCATTGTAAAAAGATCCATGTACCTCTTATCAGGGGCAGCTCTGGAGATGTTTCTGTCATGCTGTCTTTCTTTCCTCCTGTCATGGCGAATCTCATCACGTTCCCTGACCTCTCCTTCCTCACCACCTTTTGGAAGAGAATGCATGAGAGAGAAATTCTTATTAGACATTTTAATCCAAGGCATTTCGGCCACCACAGGCAGGTCACATACAACCCAGGCCCTGCATGCCATCGCATTCACAACTTTGCATCTACTGATTATTAGAGAGTTTTGCATTCTAAAAGCATAACCCAGCATGTAATCAAACATGATGTACATGTCAAGCACTTACGGCTCACATTTTCAAACATAGCGTTTTTGTACTATACAAAATAACCAATTAGAACAAACTCTGTTGCAGGGTTTTTAGAATTTTTAATTTTTCGTTACTGTTTTTTTTCCTTCAATATCAGTTTAGTTTCAGTTAGTTTTAGAACAGTGGTCCAGTTCTGTTTATATTTAGAGAGTTTTTAATTTAGTTCTTGTTTAATTTCATTTTTGGTTTTTAGTATTATGGCAAATAAGCATGCCCAGAAAACAGGATCCTCCTGAAGAGTTTCTCAATGCTAAATAAGCACAGTAGACTATGCTCCGTTAGTCTGTGCACATTCAATTACTCAAAGACAGCACCATCTAATTTATTTTAGGTTTGAAAGGAATCCATTTCTAGGCCATCTTTCATACACGGAAAACATCACAATTTATGCTTTTTCTGTGTAATACTATTGAGCTATGGTTGGTGTTACAGTGAACATAACAGTTTTTATTTAGTTTTCATGTTTTTGTAAACAGTATATTTCATTTTTACAGATATCAACTACATTTATAACTGTTTTTATTCTACTATAATAACCCTGGCTCTGCTGCAGAAACAGACTGTCCAACGGAAACATGGTGTAATACAAATACAGTTATGACAGCCTATTAGGTACCAATAAGGTACATGATAAAGTGGCCAGAGATTGTAGACAAATAACTTCATCAAACGCACCTTTTTCTCCATGGCCTTTAATTCCAGCTCTTCTGTCTCTGGCCATCTTTGCAAGCTCCCGGAGCCTCTCCTCCTTCTTCTCTTTTTCCTTCTGCGCCATCTTCTTTTCCACCTGAGCTCTCATCTCCACCGCTTCCCTGGCCTGAGATCACAAAGCATGCCACCATGGAAAGTTATCTTGTTTTCTTTCCGTAGAAACCTAGTCCTTGACCTCGCTACGTTAGTCAAGGTCAAAAATGACTTGTGTTAAGACAACAGGATGGGATGACCACAAGGGAAATTCTTAATCATTTATTTTACCATACTTACTAAGTAAAATCACATCCACTATTAATAAGACTCTTGCATCCCTTCCTAGAAACTTCAAAGATGACCTTTAATATTAAACCTACCTCAAGAACGCTTAACCAATCATGTTCAACTTACACATAATACATAACAAAATAACAGTCCTATTAGCTGTTTGTGAATTTTGGATCAGGTGGGTTTCTCAGGCTCCTTCTCTGTATGGTAAAATAAATAATAAAAATAAAAAATAAAATAAAATCAGTGTCTGTCTGAGTCTTGTACTATATTAGGCTTAAGTTTACAACAAATAATTAGCGCTGTCTAAATAAGTAATGCCTACCAAACAACAGAACTGTAAAGATAATCTTCTAGGACAATGGTCTTTTAAAAAGAGACAAAAAAAGAGCATCAACAAGACATGCAAAAAAGCAACTCTGACAGCTTTGCCGTTATTTCCACATGACATTTTTTTGCTTTTAAATATAGACAATATACCTTTCTGTCTGCAATGTAGAGAGCCTCGGCCAACTTGGCAAAATTCTCATTAATGTGAACTGTCTGAAGGCCTCTTCCGTCAGCTGCCAAACGCTTGTCTAGTGGGATTGTGTAACCCTGAAAACCGGAATGAAAAGGTTAAGAAATAAACACAAAACCCATACATCTTCGAAACTAGTTTATATACAGTCAATATTTTGGACTCCAGAGCATAGCAAACAACAAAATAAACATTTCTGGCTGTCTACGGTGGAGCAAGAGAAATCACTAACTGAACCTTTGCATTCTTCCAGTTGGAAATGCATGGGGGAATCTTCCACTCTTGTTGTTCCTTTACAGTCATCTAAGGCAAAGAAAAGTAGAGGGCACTTGTGGTGAGTTCGATAGTACATATTCAAAGCTCTTTCAGCATGAGCAAATCTGATACCGAATTTAATGGAGTCCTACCTTTCTGCTGGGGGAATGCATGACTGGGGCAGGAGGAGAGGGAGGGCCACGAGGAATCTTCTTATTAATTCTTTTAAAAATAGACAGAGGTAAGACACCTTACAGATTGTTCATGTACTGTACTTGATGCAGAATTGTTATTTTGTAAACATGATGAGAGGGGCATTATGCAAGGCTTCAGAGGTATAATGATAAATAACTTCCTACCTTCTTTTTACTTAGTATTAGCAATTTTCACAGCCTTGTGTGTTGTGACCTACTTGAAACGTGGTGGCTCCATTGGGTCTTTCTGCATCTCCACCATGCGGATGACCCTTTGCTTGGCCCCCGAGTTGAATGCCACTCCCTGCTGAGAGGGTGTGTACCTGTTAGAAATAAATAATTATTTAAAGGAGACTTATTATGCTTTTCCTGTTTTTCCCTTTCCTTTGGGGTGTTATGTAGCTTTCTGTGCATGTAAACAATCTGCAAAGTTAAAAAGCCCACAGTAACACTCCCCCACAAACCGCTTTTCTCAGCTGCCTGAAATGCCTTGTTGCAATTCTAGCCATTTTCCTTTGTTACAAGATGATGCAATCTCTCAACACAATCCTTACCGCCCACCTACTGGCAAGCTTGGCACACCCTTGCAAAACAAAGTTACAAAGTAAAAACTTATGACTCTGAAATGTCCTGCTCCATTCTAGCATGCGAAGGTCTGGGGTGGGACCTGACTTTCAGGATCAGACTCTGACTTAAACTGACACAGCAGAACTTATGCCATTGTAAGAACAGCCACAGCGGTGTAGGGGCGGAACTTGTAGCAGGATGCCGCTCTGACGGAACAGAGAGGGCGAGCTGACTAATCAGAGCACGTTGGCTCATCGAGAGAGAGAGAGGCTTAAAGACAAAAGAACTCTAACAGAGCATTTCAGACAGAGGGTAAACAGAGATGTACAGTATGAGAAGATCTTGTTTTTGGGACACTAAAAATGAGCCTAATAGATACTCTTTAATTAGGGAGTAACTGTTGAACTGTATGACTGACATTAAACATACACAGATCCCAAACCAGTTGTACCTATTGTTACGTGTAAGCACGTATTTTGTTTTCTTTTTAACCAAAAGTACATAAGGTGGTGCAGGCCCTCTGACCTAGGGAGCTAGACAGAGTAGACATCTATAAAGTGCGAATGTTCAGGCGTGCCCCTCTTACCTGTTTGAAACCCCAGGTGGTACAAACAATCTCTTGTAAACAAAGTTAAAAGTGTGCAGGTAAAATACCATCACTAAAGTACTTTTGGTTACTGGCTAGGGAAGTTTAGAGTAGTTAGCTTTTGTTTCCTTTTTTTTTTTAAAATAAACTAAATACTTTTTGTTTCAGAGTAGGCTAGCATGGTTAGGTTTTGTTTTGTTCTTTTCTTTGGTGCCGTACAGGATGTTTAATCCCTTATTATTTGGCATTTTAATGAGCTGGTGTAGTTGAGATGAGGAACTCTGGTTGTTAGCATGAGCTAGAGGCTAATGCTACCTTGTCTCATTGATTTTAGAGCTTTTTAGTTTCTGAAGCTACTTGAGTTTGTTAGAAGGATGATGGTGAATGTAGCTGGTCACTTCAGTATCCCCATTTTGTGCGTTTTATGAAAGTTTTAAAAACATTGATTTATTTGAGGTTTTTTGGCTGAGCTTAGTTTTGTTTGTGGGTCCATCTGACTGTCAGGTGAGGTGGAGGGTGTACAGACTCCCCCTACTGTTGTGGAGGTGGAAGAGTTGGAGAAGCCTGTAGCAGTTGGGCTTGGCCTGGTGTGTCTTTGCCTTTGTTTAAACTGGTCTCTTTGAGTCCAGAGATGTGGCAGGCAAAGTTTGGCTAAAAAAAGGCCCTATACAAAGGAACTGGAGACCAAGAGGGGATTCAACTGTGACTTGGAGATGAGGGTGAATGAGTTTGCCTTCCCTCCAACAAAACAGTTGGCTTCCACTTGGGTTTCTCTCCTATATCTGGTCACTCTGCTTCTACCTCCATTTCTTTGTCTGATGCCATTTTGATCTCACTCAACCACTTTTGATATTAGTAAACACTTAGTGCCTTAGTCTTGGGAAATTAAAGTGAGCATCTATTTTAGTTGTAGGATTTTGAATATGCAACAGGTCTGATTTGATTGCCTGACGTTTGCTCGTAGGGTCTTTCACGTGGAGGGCCTGATTCGGTCAGTTAATCTGACATTTGCTTGTAGGATCCTTCATAAGGGGGGGGGGCTGATTCGGTCAGGTGACATTTGCTTTGTAGGACCTTATTTCATTTGAGAGATCTGATTCAGTCAAATGATATTTTGTAGGATCTGCTTTTATATGAAGATCCGATTTGGTCATTTGACATTTATTTCATAGGGTCTTACATGAAAAACCTGATGAGGTCATTTTTCATTTGTGTAAACAGTTTTCATAGGGTCAAAGTCCATTTGTCTATGCATTAGGTTTAATACTTCTAACATTAGACCTTTGCTTGAGAGTTGCTTTCTTTTGGGTGTGCGTTACGTTAAAGCACGTATTTTGTTTTGTTTTTTGTGTCTCTCTCTCTCTTTGTCTCCCTTCACAGGGGCACCTGCTCTAGTCATGTGAGGAGGACTAACCAATCAGAGGCCTGACTGGTGCAGCTGGGGGAGGAGCCTACACATTAAAAAAAAAGAGGGCTTCAAGACGGCTGAAGAGAGAGGACTGATCACGCGTTTTCTGTGTTTTAGTTTGCGTCTTAATCTCTTGTGCTGGGAGTGTGCTTTGTTTTAGGTATTTTACCAGTGCTTCTTTTAATTTAGTTTGCAAGACTTTGTATTTTATGTTAGGGGAAGTACTTGAGTGGTGGTGTTTTACCTGCACACTTTTATCTTTGTTTTACAAGAGATTGTTTGTACCCCCTGGGGTTTCAAACAGGTAAGAGGGGCGCAACTATACATTTGCACCATGTAGATGTCTACTCTGTCTAGCTCCCTAGGTCAGAGGGCGTGCACCTCCTTATGTACTTTTGATTAATGGCCAGGGAAGTTTAAAGTAGTTAATTTTGTTTCCTTTTTTTTAGATTAGCTAAATACTTTTTGTTTCAGAGTAGCCTAGCATGGTTAGGTTTTGTTCTGTTTTCTTTGGTGCCGTCCACAGTTCGATTCTTCCAGTGTGGTACTAGGCATCACAGCACTCCAGTTTTATTGTGGTTTGTTTTAATGAAGTGGCTTCAAAAGCTCTATATTGGTCTGTTCCTCAAGCTCTGTACCTTAATCCATTCTCACCAGTTCAGAATTTTAATGCCACATGTTACTGATTCCACAGCGGCCTAGACAAAACGTGGGGTCGTAACAATATATACATTACCGTATGTATTGTGCTGGTGCCTGTTTATCTGCAGCACGTACAGGCATGGCAGCAGCAATCTTTTGGGACACCTGCTTCTCTAAAGCTGCTCTGGTCTTCTCTGTGAGCTAAAATGAAAGGAAAGGATTATATTATTAAATTGATTACAAAGTCATTACACACACACACACACGTACACACACGTACATACATGTGTATGTATGCGAATAGGTTCAAGATTTACAGAAGAAACAAGACAATGATTAAGGGAACAATATTCTATTAACAAATGAAAAGTTTCATGCTTTGGATATGATGCAAGCTAAATCTGGAATTATCCATTAAATCACATTACTGGATGCATTCCAGTGGTGAAAACCTTAACGACACATCATCTAACTTTTCAACACACGTGGGCATGTGGCCTACGTACAATGCAGTATGATGAGTAATATTCATTTTATTCATAAATCAAAGTGGATGGTGTCCTAAAATCTGGAGAAACGGCCACCAAATGTGCAGATGAAGACATGCATAGTCTAGTACAGCGGTATGGGGCATTTTCACCCACTTGATTTTACTACTCTTGAACAAAAGACTCACTTTCTTATTTCAGAGAAAGTGCAACTGCTAATCTTAGTGACAGCATGGAAGTAACAGAATGGAAAATAAAGCACAGGGTATTCCAGTCATTTCATGAACTGTTTAAATTTGTTTATACTGAGAACCAGTCACAGTTGCAAAAATCCTTAGGACCTGCCAGTTGTGTCTCAATATACTGAAATGTTTAATGCAGAAACTGTGTAAATTTATAAGTAGCCCTTCATTGTCCTTTTGCTGCTAGCATAATTCTAAAGTCCTCTAGCGTCACTAAGGGAATTTGCTGTGTTGTTAGGACGAAGCTGGTGGTGATTTGATGCCAATTTATCTTTAACAAATGAAGATCATAACAGGCATACAAGTAACACACTGTCTACATGTTATGCAGTTTTGCTGTGACGCCTTTTGTAAAGATCTGAATATAAGCCTGCTTGGTAATATTACTGAAGCAGTCTATTAGCTATCTGCTGGCCTAATCATCCTTCTCTACTGAGAGCAGAATATCCAGTCCAGTTACAGAGAATACCAAGTGTGAACCAGTAAGAGAAAGCCTGTTAACAGGAACGACTTGTGTTCTACTGGCAACTCTTCATTTGGTTGCTTTTTATAGACGTGGACTTCAGCAATAACAATGTGTTTTTTCACACAGTAAAATATGCTCGCATGGAGGAATATTTTAGAGCAGTGTCCACCAAACTTTGGGAAGAACAAATGGATTTAGCGTGCTGCAAGCTCAGAGCAACATGCTTTACAGCGGTAACAGTCAAATGCATATACTGCAAAAGACTTTACTAATAACTGGTGGAATAATGTTTAGAACTAGGGCTGCAACAAATGCCTATTTTGATAGTCGAATAATCTATCAATTATTGAAAGAAATAAGCAATTATTCATATTATCAATTGCTCAATTACCAAATAACTTTTAAATTTAGCTTGAGGTTGTTTTTTGCATTTGCTAACTAACAACGAAGACAAAGATGAAAACCCTATTTAAAAATTCACTTTTTTAAATGAACTTTCCTGCCAATAATAATTCAATATTCCCTTAAATCACACCAGCAGGTTCTCTGTGCTTTAACAACCACATGGTCAAACCTACACACAAACATCATAGAAACAATAAACACACAAATGTGTGTGGATTACTGTATTCTCTCCCGCTTTCTGAGTGCAATAGCTTGAAATTGTGTAATTGTGGACTCTCTTACCCTGCCGCTTTGTAATGGTACTGAATGCAGCCCAGCAGCGATGTTGACTGCCCCAAAATGTCGGTGTCGTTCACGTGTCTTGCTGAACCCAACACGGCACGTATGTATTTATCTATGACCAACACTTTCTCCAGCCATATATGCGAGACACATTCAGATTTGGCAAGCAGTGGCAAACATTTGTGGCAAACTTGGTCTCTACGAATAGTTAAATTTGAATGATTTTATGTAAACATTCAATTTTAACAGTAACACTTTGTCCAGCTTCCCTGCGTGTTTGTGGAGAACTATCACCTGAAACTGTTTACGAGTGGTGGTAAACCTTAGTGGACAACTCAAGGCAAACAGAAAAGTGGTTGCAGCTGTTGGGAAACGTTCTCCTACGTTAGCCGAATTTGAACACGCCGGTGGCCTCGACGTTAAGACAATAATGCAATGTTCAAAACTGTACACGTTATTTGAAATAGGAACAGTATGACAGTTGTTAACTGTTTCTCCGTTTCAACTCCATTAACAATTCCAGAGAACAGGCATTTAGAAATAGAAAATGTTACAGCTCAGCTCATAACTAGAGCTAACTAGCTCAATAGCACGACTATCTTACCAAGATGAAGTGAGGTGACCTGTTTCCTCTTCACTTGCTCCAACATATAGGATGTGCTCCCATGCCAGCAAAGGTCGGTTTTACAAATAGCACAACTCACAACTTTTTTCAGAGTTAAACGTGAAATGCTCCCACACTTTTCATTTTCTAGGCTGCCATTATGTTTTCGTTAACTCTCCAGTATGTGGTAATGTCTAAACATTGCTAGTTAGTGCGAGAACCATGCGTGATAATGTCACCAACTAATCGACTATTAAATTAGTTGCCTACTAATTTGGTTGTTGATTTTAGTCGACTAAGTCGATTAATCCTTGCACCCCTATTTAGAACATTAAATAATTTTTTAAATCAGAAATGTTGTTACACCTAATAGATGAAATCTGAGCTCATCTTTATGATGGAAAATCTTGCTCATGGGAGACAACCTCAAACATTATCTAAAATAAAAATCTTACCTCTCTAACCGCCTCCTCGTCCGGTCTCTGTAGTTCAGGGGCATCATCATTAAGCACTTCCTTAGGAAGCAAGTCTGTATATTTACTGAATATAACCTGTTCAAAGAACAACAAAAGAGGTGTGAGCGTACATTTCAATGAACTTTACAAACAATAACTCCGAGCTCCAACATAAGACACACCTTATCCTTTCCTTGCCCTTGCCTTGCAATGGCGTCATATTTTATTTTGCCCTCAGCATCCACCTGCACGGCAAGAGCATTGGAGGTCTTCTTCTTCCTACCCATGTCCAGTGGGTACTGGGCCACATGGATTTCTGGAAATGCACCTCCATCACCAAAATCCTATAAAAGAAGAAATAGTACATATAAGCAGCGGCCCATGAGCTGTCACAGACCTCAAAATTAGAATTCCAAAGATAATATAAGTATATGTAGATGTATTGCACTTGCAGTACCTCCAGACTGCGGGGCACCCATCCTTTTCGAGAGCCATAGGGAGATGGTTCTCTGCGAGTGGACACCAGTGCTGTGGACTGGGACGTCTGTGCTCTGCTCCTCTCTTCTGCCTCGAGCTGGTCCTGAGACAGCTGAGTGGGCGCAGGTAGAAAGCTGTAGAACAAAAAGTACACTACTGACCTATCTGCTAGTAGTAAGCCAAATCTTGTTTCTCATGCGAGCGGCTTTATTGTGCTTAACTGACGAAACTTGGATGAGTCGCAAAACATCTTTAAAACAGCTTACTGCCACAAACCCTGTAATTTCGGTTTGTTCTGCTGGTCAAATCAATCACCTGGACGGCTAAAAATTTGTTCAAACACAGCACAATGCTGACTCAACTCCAACTTCTTCCATATCTTAATTAATCAATAACAGAATAATACAAATCACATGTTCTTTTCCATAAAAAGACAGAATACTACGAACAGCATTTTCAACTGACCTGAGTTAAATCTGAAAAAATAACTCGATGTCTACCAGCTAAGAGCAAGGAATAATGTTTGCTGGCTAGGTGGCTAGCAAGCAAGCGAAATGCGTAAGTTATGATATAAATCCTATGAAACCGCACCGTTCTACACGAGTAAATTTTAATTGGGAACACGCGGATTTGCTCTTAGGTAAGTTAGTCTAAATCGATAGACTATCGTGTCGGTGAGCTTATTAACATAACTTACATAAAGCTAGCGGGGTAACGCTAACGTTAGCATTACAACAACGTTGCAGTTAGCTAGCTAGTGAGCTAGCTAACTAAGCCTTTAAGGCATAGAATGACCAAAAGGACTGAAAAATATAAGAAATACAACAGTATTACACCGCGTGTCGTAGACGGCGTCAAAAATACGTTTTATTGTCGATTTTAACGTAACGTAGTAATAAAGCCTAACAATCTTAAGACGCGACCCACCTCGTCAGCGACATTTTCCTCTCCTTGTTGAATCTGACGCCACGCGAGAATTGAGCGTATCGCGTTGTTTCGGAAAGAGAAGCGAGAAAAGCAGACTTTTTTATCTTACGGAAAAAATGTGGTATTGTTAAAGCTTGTAATGTACTACTTTCTCATTAAACGATTCTTCCCAAATTGCTGCATAAAATTATAATATGGTTGTCCATTTACATTAAACATATTTGAACAAACTAAACTGGTAAGTCAAGTCAAGCCAAGTCAGCTTTATTGTCAATACTACAATATGTACAGGACATACAGAGTATTGAAACTGCGTTACTCTCAGACCCATTAAATAGACAGTAAACAGGAAATGTGTGAATTAAATAGATACTAAATAAATGTTAAACACTAATCGTAAAAATAAACACTAATTGTAGAAAAATAGAATAATATATATATATAATATATATATATATATATATATATATATATATATATATATATATAAATATAAAATATAAAATGTCTAAAATGAGCTAGGTAGGTTAAGCCACAGAAAAAGAAATTGTCTCCAGTTAATATCCCCATGCACCAGCAAGCCTTAGTTATTACAATTTGAAGTGGGCAGCATCTTTAGGCTAAATGCCAGGCACTGCTTTCACTGAAAAACAAAATTGAAATTACAACCTGGAAATAAAGTTGAGGTATAATGGTTATCCAGTATCTTTTTATACCATATATTAACCACATTTGCCTTATTGAATCCATCTTATTTTCTACTTCTCAAAGAGGGATTTAGGGGTCAGAGTGGTGTGCGTTTTTAGATATTGTTGCTTGTAAATTGTAGTCAGAATTTACAGAAGTTCAACAGTGAAACAGCTTGTAACTGTCTTACAGACATGTTTCCTGTAAATGTTCATTTTGTGTTCTTTTATGTAAGTTCACGATTATTTGAGCTCATACATCCATTATAATATGTCATATAAAATGTTAAAAGGAGGGATAACATTGACATAAAAATGTTAAAAATATACCAGCCTTTAACAATGTTTGGTTAAAAAATTTAGCACTCTTTATGTAATGGTTCATTGTACTGTGGAGTATAACGGGTCACATGACCAGAGTTCAGATAAGGGTACGAACGCTGACGCAGAGGAACGACATACGGCACAAAATAACCTTATTCTACGTGTTCTAAAGGCGCATATGGTAATTATCCTCTTTTTGTTCATATTGTGTATAATGCCGTTGATGTGTCTTCGCATGGACAGTGCGATATGTTTGAGTTAATTAATTTCTTTTTTCCCTCGCATTCTGTTATGCTAAGGTGTTGGGAACTGTATATGTACACTATATGGACACTAGCTTGAGAGACTTTAAAAGAACTGAATATGTATTTGAAATTTCTTTTTTGTCTTTTATTTTCTTGTAGTTTTCACGGTGTCTGCTGACGAAATAGACAGAGAGAAATAAATCTTCAAAAGACTGTACGAAGCGTGGCCATTGATTCTTTGGACCAGTGTAGCTACTGGAATCCATATTAATAAAGTCTGGCCTGCTGGACCTCCCACTGGTTTAGTATTAGTATTTAATTTTTTTTCTAATGATTTAAAAAAAAAAAAATGATTGGCAATTTCTCATCATACTTTGTTTTTTCATACCATGTTTTTTCTCAGTCTTTGGGAATGAGAATACATGACATACAATGAATCAACATACAGAAATCCCCTTTTTTTACAATATATCACATATAACTTTTAGGTAAGAATATGTACATGACTAATTACCCAAACAGTCACATCTGTCACGCTGTAATACATTACCTCAGTAATACAACCCCATTTCCAAAAAAGTTGGGATGCTGTGCAAAATGTAAATAAAATCAATGATGTGCAAATCATTTAAACTCTATATTTAATTGACAATAGTACAAATACAACATATCAAATGTTGAAACTGAGAAATTATATTGAGAAATTTTGAATTTGATGCTAACAACATGTTCCAAAAAAGCTGGGACAGGGGCAACAAAAGCCTGGTAAAGTTGTGTAATGCTAAAAAAAAACCCACCTGAACGTTAATTGGCAATAGGTCAGTAACATGATTGGGTATAAAATATATACATTAGCAAGATGGCGGCACGCATGGATGCTGTGGCTTGACACTCTCCTTTATGGTGCCTTTTATGTGCATTTTTGTTTATATGTCTGTTAGTAAATGTTATGTTTAGTGGCACGAATCCCACCTACAGCCACCAAGTTCTTTTAAGCATAGGATCACAGCAAAAACAGGCTGCTACGAAGGAATTACTGCACTCGCTCAACATCCCAGAGGAGACTGCCTGGACACCAGGCGCTCCGTGGATTAATTTCAGCTCTGGCAAGCGGCGGAGACGGAGGAGGCACAGGAAGCAAAAACGTGTTGCCGGTCCGGCGCAGTTGCTAGGCTAAAGAAACAACCACGCAAACCGGCATTACCCAGCATTTTTCTCACCGACGCCATATCCGTCACCAACAAAATGGATGAACTGAATCTACTGATTTCCACAAACAAACTCATAAGGAACTGCTGCATTCTGTTAATAACTGAAACATGGATCACTCACTCATTCCAGATGAAGCCATAGAGCTAGCAGGCCGCACAGCACACCGTTGGGACAGAAACAAAGACTCCAGTAAGCGCAAAGGAGGGGGGCCTTTGCATTTACATACATAATAACTGGTGTACTTATACTGCAATCATAGACAGACATTGCTCTTCTGCTCTGGAGTACATGACAGTTAAATGCAGACCCTTTTACATTCTGCGTGAGTTCACCGTTGTCATAGCAACCGTTGTTATACTGCATGTATTACTTGATGCTAATGTTAGCATAGCATTAAGCTCCCTGCTCAGTGCTATTGATTCACAACAGCTGTATCCTGAAGCAGCCCATATGATTGCTGGAGATTTTAATCACACAGATTTAAAGGGTGTTCTCCCAAAATTTCACCAACACATCAAATGTGTTACAAGGGGGAAAATACTCTGGACAAAGTCTACTCAAACATCAAGAACAGATTTATGACAATATTACTCCCTCAAATAGGCCAGTCTGATCACTACTCATTATTCTTTACAGCATACACCCTCCTCAGGAGGAAAGATCAACCATCCACAAAGACTGTTCAGTCATGGCCAAATGGAGCTTCCTTACAACTGCAAGCCTGCTTTGAAAGAACAAATTTGGGACATCTTTGAAGACCAAGACTTGAAGGAGTACACATCAGCCGTACTCTGCTACATACGGAACAGCGTGGACAATGTCACAGTCCAAAAATACATCTGTGTGTACCCAAACCAGAAGCCCTGCATGACAAAGGAGGTCAAAATACTTCTCAAAGACCATAACACTGCCTTTAGGTCTGCAGCCTTATACAGCTCTGCCAGAACCAACCTGAAGAAAGGCATTAGGGAGGCCAAAGCAGGCTAAAAGAGGAAAATTGAGGATCGCTTCACCAACAACTACCCAAGGCGGCTGTGGCAGGGTATACAGTACAACACAAACCATAAGACCAGCAACCGCACAGCTGCCAAAGGAGATGCCTCACTGGCAGAGGAACTTAATTATTTCTTTGCTCGCTTCGAGGTGACACCAGTGGAGACAGACAGTCTTCACAAGAATCTTCAATCTGTCCTTGTCTAAATCCATCATCCCACCTTGTCTGATATCCGCCACAGTTATTCCACTTCCAAAAAAGTCATCAGTGACCTCGGTGACTACCATCCGATTGCGCTCACACCTGTCATAATGAAATGCTTTGAGAGGCTGGTCCTGCAGCACATCAAAGCCAGCCTCCCACCAAGCTTCGACCCACACCAGTTCACCTACAGGGTAAACAGGTCCACGGAATATGCCATCGCCACCACTCTACACACAGCACTGACCCACCTTGAACACCAGGGGAGCTATATGAGGATGCTTTTCATAGACTTTATCTCTGCCTTTAATACACTCATCCCAGGCAGACTGGTCACTAAGCTCAATGACATAGGACTTTCCCAACCCATCAGCAACTGGATCAAGGACTTCCTGTCCAACCGCACCCAGACTTGGCCCCCACCTCTCCACCACCATCACGCTCAACACTGGTGCGCCACAGGGCTGTGTGTTGAGCCCCCTTCTCTATGGCATCTACACTCATGACTGTGCCCCCACCCATCCCACCAAGACTATAATCAAATTCGCAGACGACACAACCGTGATTGGACTTATCTCTGGAGGAGACGAGACAGCCTACAGAGATGAAGTCCATGGACTGGCTCTGTGGTGTTCAGAGAACAATCTCACTCTGAACTCCTCAAAAACTAAAGAACTTCTTTCTGAATAGACTTCAGAAAGAATTTCACAAAACCAGACCCATTATACATCAACGGGGACTGTGTGGATTGAGTACACGATTTCAGGTACCTGGGCACACACATTGCTGAAGACCTTACTACTGCTGCTCCATTGAAAGCGTGCTTACATATGGCATCTCCACATGGTACGCAAGCAGCTCAGCAGCAGAGCCCTTCAGAGAGTCATCAGCACAGCCCAGAAGATCATTGGCTGCTCGCTGCCCTCCTTGGAGGAGGTCTTCAGGACCTGCTGCCTCAGCAGGGCAGCTAACATTCTAAAAGACCCATCTCATCCTGGTCATCATCTGTTTGACCTGTTACTATCAGGCAGACGCTATAGGTCCATCCCATCACGGACAAACAGACTTAAGAATAGCTTCTACCCCAGTGCAATAAAAGAACTGAACACTGCACAACGTTGACATTGCACACTGCCACCCAGGCACCAACAACACTGGAATAGAGTGTCTACCCGCACCTTTCCAAAACATACTCAAGGGATATTAAAAGATGTTTACATTCATTTGTACTTTATATTTAAAATTAAATCTGTTAATAGAAATACTACTGTTTACATATGTGCAATACCCTCATGTGCAGTGCCATAGCTGCTACATTCTTTTATATACACCCTTGTTATTTTACTTATTTT